AAAAAACCCTAGCCTCGATTACAATCGGAACCGCTGTCGCCAAAACGCACACAAACAAATGATAAACACTACGAAATCTCGAAAATGATTGGTCATAGTTTCTAATTTAGAAAGACGTAACAAATTCTTGATTGTTAATATAATTTAAAGTTTACCTAGTCGCTGTATCATTGAAAGTTCAATCCCTTTAATGCAAGTTACGACGTTTTGATTTTACATTGAAATTTTATTGAACGTGATGCCATCTTGCGTCTAGTAGCTGGACTACGACGAACGATAAACATCTGAATCATGTCGATAAATAGGAAATTGAAAATTTATTAAAATGAGACTTACTGATGACATGAAATACCACTACGGGTATATTTTATCATTTTTGCACTCCAAAACAGCACAATAAGGCTGCAAGCACAATATGGTTGGCACGTGTAGGATGCTAACTAACCACTTCTACTGTATTTATTATTTTGTGGCATAGATCTTCCACGGCAGTGAGCCTCTGAACTGATGGCGTAAAATATTTGAAGTAGTTGTCTGTATCTAAGATCCAAAAAGGAATAAGGATATAAATTGCGAAAACAAAATGCAAAATCGCAATACGAGTACAACATACATCACGAAATATCAGAGGCTCGGTCACCATCTGCCGACTTCACAATATTTTTCCCTTTTCACGAAATCCTTTATTAGGACCTGCGAAACCGGGTGAAATATTGAATATTCACTTCACCCAGCTGCCATTTCGTAGATTCCCAATGTTTGGCACACACTCGGTTTCAATCCTTCCAAACACCGGTTTTGTTTTCGAGTGCTTTTGTTCTAATTTCGGAGTTTCAATATTCAGCAGACGAGTTTGAGCTCACACTCGAAACTGCTTCGTTTACGTGACAAAATGTTTTGTTTTGTGCTCGTTCGATATTTATTTCGGATTGCAATCGGAAGGTAAAAATTAAAAGCTATGGTGCTGTTTTAAAGCGTTCCTTTAAAGGCCGAGAAGATTGGAAGGTAAAAATTAAAAGCGGTGGTATTGTTCTAGAGCAAAATAAAACCCCCAAAAGTAAATTCATCCCATGGTCACGGTTGACAGGGATGATAGTTCCTACCTAGTCATCAACAAGTTATGCATATTTGTGCAAACCACCCTATTCTGAACTATTGTTATAAAACATTACCCTATTTAAAACCTGAAAAAAAAAAGAAAATTCCAATTTACTCTGCCTACAACTCGCAAAATATTTTAACAATACGTATTTTTTTACTAAATCAAATCGATGAACGAGACATGAAGTATATAAAGGGTCCGAAACATTGGCTTGTTTGAAAAAAAATATACGCGATTTAGAGCAGAACAAATATTTTCATCTTCAATGTGTAGCAACAACGAAAATCTAATACTTTAAAATTTAAAATGGTATTTAGTGGTCATAAGGTGAGTGAGATAACGTGACAATTTTGGATATGAGTAAAAATAAACGCCTGCGTTCAGTGATGAACAATGCATTGACGTAGTCTAATTGCCACTACATTTTGGCTCAACCTAAACACGAGACCGATTTTTTTATGATATGAAGTAACGGGATGAACAAGTTATGCGACTAGTGGTAAGCGACACGCCATTCAGAGCTTTAAGTCCCATGTCGGTACTTCCCAGAACGAACCCTTTCACAAGGAGTTGTACTGCTACTAACTATTGGGAACTAAAATTAGACGTCACTTTATGATATTCAACTATCAAACATACGAACAAAACCAAAGTAATAGCCACCTATAAGGATATGACCGAAATATCGCAAATGCGTTACCGGCTGTGCGATATAAGATCTTGAGTTATGTCTGCGATTGCCCTGATTCTTCCTGCCATTTTACGAACACAGCAGTGTTTTTCTAAAGTAAAAATACTATTTTATTTATTTATTCTTTTATTGCATTGTCACACTTATATTATATTAAGTACAGTGGCTTGAAATGTACATGTGACTCGACTGTGACAGACTGTGAGTAATAAAATAAAATAGTGATCACATTAAATAAATCCTTACAATTATACATGCATAAGATAAAAGAATATCGGAAGTATCTCGAATTAATTACATTATAAATTGTATTTTGTCATTGAAAAACTCTTTAATATTATAACTTTTATTTATGAAAAGTTCTTTTAAATGTTTGGAAAAATCCTAAATTCTTGAATTTCTTTTATGTAATTTGATATGTGATTGTAAATTTTAGTTACCATAACTTGCGGTCCAGAACAAACTAATTTCAATTTAGAAAATCGTACACGTAGTTGATGTAGGTTTCTGTTGTTACGTTTAAATTCAATTTTACTAGTGAATAAAGTGGGATAGTTTTTAATAAATTTGCACGACACAAGTGTGTATATACCTGTTAAAGTAAATATGCCTCATCTTCATTAACTTACAATTATATGGACGTCGGGTCCGCGCTAAAAAGTGTCCGAACTTATAGGGCGTTAAAATGGTATACAGAGCGTCATTCAAGCTTTAGTCTTCGTTTGTTCCACTGACAGCGAAGCAAGCAAAATTAGACAGTACTGCGATGACATTACAATTTATATTTAACATTTTAGCTTTTTCATATTCCTTTACGTGTCACTACGTTTAAATAGGTTGACTTGGGACATTTTTTTCGTGGTTTTTGTATTAGACCCGTCGTCCATTTATTTGTAAGTCAATGCTAATCTTTGAAAAAGATGTCTACAAGATTCATTGAAATACTACTATCAATTTCGTTTCGCTTCACATTTACATCGAACGACTATGAAGTGGAATTCCCTGGCAGCAGACTTGTTCCCTGACCGAACTTGGGCCTTTTCAGGCGAGAGTGAATACATATTATTATTATACATTAAGTGTGCATGCTCTATTGTCGACCTCATCGTCACTTTCTATCAGGTGAGATGGAGGTCAAATTTCGCATTTCTTTTTAATAAAATTAATACAAAAATGCATTTGACGCCGATGTTACTGTTGTCGGTAGTCTTTCCCTTTTTTTAAAATTCCTATACGAATACACAATTTCAATTGAACTTATCTTGTGTAATTAATCTTATAACCCATTATGTACACCTATAATTTATATCAATTACCGATAACAATGACGGGTGGAACAAAAGATTTATCAGTCAACATTTTGCCATCATGTTTAATCAAATCAATCCAATATCTACCCAATTGTTTGTGACTTAAGATAAATTTGTCAGACATCAGAATTAATTTTCTCTAAGAATAAATCGATTAGAATGGCTCGCATAATACCACAGTAGGTAATTTGTTTTTACATTTATGTTTTACACCTACATATAAATGTTTCATTTGTATTTAATATGCATTTAATTGGGCATTGTATGTAACACAACACACACCGGCACATTTAGCTGTATACTAGTCAAAATCCCAAAATAATAATATTTCACTACCATGATACCTATTCATTTACTGTTTTGTGAAATTACTCCACTAGTTTCCTATAATTTTATATACGAAGAACGAACACAAAGATAAAATCCTACATATCAGCAGATATTATGAATGACTATATGCGTTTATTGCAGATCTTTGCCTAAAATACAAGTATATATTACGTTTACTTAGTTTAGGCGTCGCAATTACACATTCATCCCATCCTAGTCCCATTTCAACTTGAAGAAAATATTCCACCTCTAAGAGTGGCAAACTAGGAGATGAATCCGGTTTCGCTCACTTTCCGGTAACCGATTTCAATAAAACTTGGCAAATAAATGTAATTCCACGACTTTTTGCGGTCGGTTTTTCAGTATTCCTTTCTAAGATTATTAGTTCATCCTGTCACCCTAAATATATTAATAACCAGCAGAAAGATCGACTGTTGTACCCTGTTTTAGTTTGTTTTTGTCCTTGTGTACAATAAAGAATATTTGTTATTAAGAAATGAAACTACTATCTGGCATCTCTAACTGTCATTGTAGTTAATAAGTTCAACGTGAATGATACCGATTCTTGTTTTCAGAACCTCCGCTTCAAGGCCCCAACGTGACGTCAGACCGGATGACGTATGTCGGCGGGGATCACATCAGAGTCAACTGCTCTTCGCCACCTTCCCTTCCAGCTGCCAACATCACCTGGTTTGTCAACGAACAAGAGGTAAATTAAATGTTTTAACCTGAGTGAAACAAGGTCTTTTTAAAGTTCCTCGTCAACTAAGTTTGACTCAGTGAGCTACCGATATTTCTTTATGTTTATTTTGCGATGTGGCCTGTATATTAAAGGCCACCTCACGCAAGCAATATTAAAGCTCTATTGAGAACCATAGAAATGGGAACTAGATTAAGTTATGTCTCCGATAGAAACTCGTAATGTTTTATTATAGAAAAAAATACTTACAGGTGCCTGGCAACACTGCGAATCACGTACTGAATTTCAGCAACGGTTTTGCTTCGAGCCTTGCAACACTAGAGTTAGAGGCGACTGCAATGTCGCCTGTGCCTACTCTTATGATACGGTGAGAAATACATATAAATAAATATTCTCCATGTAAATAAATATATTTCCTCCGTTACTTCCGAAATACAGGGTGACCACGAAAGGTCTGGTTTTACCCAATAATACGAACAACTGTTACAATTTAGTACCCCTCCAAAGTCGCGAATACAAAAATCAGGGTTAGTACGTACATATCATTAAGTCTATATCCACTAGGATTAGCACTTGGCAGAGATTTTGAACTACTGCTATGCCCCTGATAAACTTCTTTCACTTTTTCCATTCATGCATGAAATTCGTAATGCTATCACAATAGTGTCGTAATACAACATTTGTGGAATTGAAAAATACAATTTCAAAGTTTAAAAAAAATGCTGAATGGATCTGGCTACGAAAACTAGCGAATAATGTGATTATTTTTATTTATACATAATTATCCATTTATAAATGAGAATATAATTTCATTCAGTATCGTGCATATGAAGATAATAATGCGAGTGGAAAATAAAACGATGTTCTTGGTCTTTTAGCTTTTTTTTAAATAACAACGAGTCGCAATATTGTTGGATAAAATCATCTTTGCGATTTACTGCTCTGAGTGGCACTGTAACTGTTATGGACAGGCGTGTCATTTACCATCAGGCGCACGATTTGTTCGTCCCATCACTAAGTATCATAAAAAAATTTAAAAAAATCTTATGAACGTCACAGACCTTTCAGAATCGCACTGTATATTCCATTAAAACCTTTTTTAGATTTCCGTGTTCACACCATTTCTAGTTTGAATAGAAAATAAATACCACTTATTGTCTTCGGAGAGTTGCATAAACCTTTTACAGTTTTATAGAAAGTGAGTGAATTTTCTTCTATTATAAGACTAAAAGGTGTAGCCTTGTTATTGAAACCGACAAACGATAACCGTAACATTGCCAGCCGTAGGAAAAAGGATCTTAAGACACCTGTAATTGGGATCACTCGCTCGTACCATCCCTTGAACACGGTGCCAACGGCAGTGCTGCTTTGCCGCAATAATAGTCAAGGCTACTTTAGATACTGCTCACAAACAGGACAATTACCACTAATAAAATCTCCAATTAATTTTATTTTTTTCCTTCGCTCGAAGGCGAAGATCGACTATACTGCCTAGTCATTAGGTTCTCTACTTTAATATGCCTCAATTTTAGTCTTCAAAGTTAGGTGTGTGCTCACTCTCTAGGATAGTTTCTTTAGTCTAAGTGCTGAGTATATTTTTTTAAATATTGTTTTTACGACATCGGAATAAATCCATGAAGCCAAATCTTCAACATAATTCAACTATTTTTTTTTTAATTTTATTTGTAATTTTGACCGTGGAATATTTTGAGTTTAGATACAATCGAATTTTAAATCTCCGCACTCTTTGCGCAGATTAAAAATTCGATTGTATGCTTCCCATGTCTTTCAATCGGATATCACTGTCATAGAGTAGATAACTATGCAGAATAGCTATCTCGGATTTTTTTTTTTTTTTTTTTTTTATAAAATATAGGTGCGCATTTGACCTCCATCTCACCTGATGGAAAGTGACGATGAGGTCGACGATGGAGCATGCACACCTAAATAATGCCTATTCACTCTCGCCTTGAAAAGGTCCAAGTTATAACGTTCAGGGAACAAGTCTGCAGGCAGGGAATTCCACTCCATAGCCGTTCGCCATATAAATGTGGAAGCGTAACGCTTCGTGCGAATCTTTGGAATATCCACAACATAGGGGTGGAACCCAAGCCTACGCCTAGTCCCCCGGTGATGGAAAGGGGAAGGCGGAATTAAATCATGTAATTCCATCGCACACTCTCCGTGATATATCCTGTAAAATACCGATAAGCAGGCAACTTTACGGCGGTGTTCAAGGCTCTGCAGCTTCGCCTCCACTAATTCCGAGTCACCTATAAGCCTCTTGGCACGGTTGTCAATTGAATCCAAAGTGGCCAGTTGATATGTCGCAGAGCCATCCCAAAGGTGGCAGCAGTACTCCATGCACGATCGGACTTGTGCTTGGTACAGCTGGAGCAACTGTCCCGGTGTAAAGTACCGCCTCACCCTGGAAAGGATCCCAAGCTTCCTTGCTGCATTTTTGGCCGTGGATTCAATGTATCTGCCGAAGTTCAAATTGGACGACAGGTCCATTCCAAGTAGCTGGAGACAATCGGCTATCGGTATGGATATATCACGAAAAGTCGGAGTCAGCTCAAAGGGACTCCGTTTTGTGGAGAATAGACACGCCTGCGTTTTGGTAGCGTTAAATTTGACAAGATTGGCATTGCCCCAATCGGAGACTGCCTGGAGTGTCAAATCTAAACGGCTAACCATGGACTCTCGACAAGACTGGATTTCCTCTCCACTGACCCTTGCATTGGTCAAGTACCTATCTACAACTGTGCTGTCATCAGCATACGCAAAGGTACCTGGAATTAACATATCATTGATATGCAGCAGAAAGAGAGTTGCAGACAGTACGGAACCCTGAGGAACTCCGGCATCTATCGCCATATGTTCGGAAGAGTAGCCTTCTAAGACCACTCGAATCGAACGTTCGCTCAAGAAATCCGAGATCCAATTGCAAAGGTCAGTGGGAAGCCCATAAGAGGGAAGCTTGCTTAAAAGGCTTGCGTGCCAGACCCTGTCAAAGGCTTTAGAAATGTCCAAAGACACTGCAAGTGCTTCGCCTTGCTTTTCTATAGCCTCGCTCCATATGTGACAGGCATACACAAGAAGATCCCCAGTAGATCGCCCTCGTCGGAATCCGTACTGGCGATCACTGAGGAGATCGTTGTCTTCAAGGTACGATAGGAGACGGTTGTTGAGTACACGTTCCATAGTCTTGCAGAGTATGGAAGTGACTGAGATAGGTCTATAGTTGACAGGGTCAGCTCTGCTTCCCTTTTTTGGTACAGGTTGCACGTTTGCAAGCTTCCACGACCTGGGAACTACACCAGTCTCAAGTGAGAGGCGGTACAGGCGTGTGAGAACAGGAGACAACTCAGGTGCACAGTTACGTAGGACTATTGCTGGAATTCCATCTGGCCCGCTAGCTTTATTCACGTCTAGATTTCGCAGAGTTCTAAGTACCTCTTTTTGGCGCATGCGAACTGGCGCCATAGTGCAGCCAGCCTGAGGTAAAGTAGGTGGTAGGGTCCCTGCGGCATCTAGACGCGAATTTTCTGCAAAGAGTGAGGCAAAGAGATTCGCCTTCTCTTCCGCAGTATGAGCCAGCGAACCATCCGGCCTCAGCAGAGGTGGCAAAGATGGGCGACAAAAGTTCGATTCGACCGCTTTGGCCAGGGACCAAAAGGATTTGCTGCCTGCTGGATAAGAGGCAAGCTTGGCTCCTATGCGGCGCACATGGTCGAACTTGGCCCTACGTAACATGCTTTTGCACTTCTTGGCGGCCTTATTAAAAGCTTTCTTCATGTTCTGAGTACTCGGAGTTTTGCGTAGTCGAGCATCTGCCCAAGCTTGGTACGCGGACTGTTTACGTGCTTCAGCACAACTACAATTAGCGTTAAACCATGGACGAGCTTGGGGTCCATTGGGTACATCAGAGTATGGAATGTAATACTCCATACCCAAACGCAAGACCTCGACTACAGCATCAGCACAGCTCGACGAGTCTCCTGAAGTAAAGCACGCCTGCCAGGGATATGACGCAAAGAAATGGCGCATTTCGTCCCAATCTGCTAACTTGTATCGCCACACCCGTCTCATACCACTAGGGCCCTGATCGGGTGGGGAGTATACGGATACAGTTTTCACCAGACAATGGTCGGAAGTACCCAGTGGGGCCTCCACACCCACAGAGTATCGGTCCGGATCAGTTGTCAGCAGAAGGTCCAAGCAATTAGCCGTATGGGATTCAACATCTGGTATCCTAGTGGCGCCACTGACAAGCTGGGATAAGCTTAGCGTTAACGCAAGTTTACGCGTCTCTCTCCCAGCGTGATCGGTCTTCTGGTATGGGAACAACCATTCTTGATGGTGTGCATTAAAGTCCCCCAGAATGACTAGTTGCGCCGCTGGGTACCTATGCTGAATCTCATCAGACGTCTCACTTAGATATTGGAACAGCTTGGTCGTCTCCTGATCTCCACTGTGCGATCGGTAAACACAGCAGTACACTATTTGTGTAACTCCTGTGTCAACCAGAAGCCATAAAATTGAAAAACTCGGTGCCTCAAGGTTCTTGAGACGCTTGACACAGATGTCATCGCGAACGTACACACAGACTCCGGCACGAGGTACGAACCTGTGCTCCAGAGTATACCCGGGGTAGCTGAGGTACGCTGCGTCAGTCGGACATCTGATCTGCGTCTCAGTGAGGAACAGCAGCTGCGGTTTGTCGGTTTCAAGGTGGTAGTGGACCGAATCGAGATTTGAGTGCAGACCTCGGATGTTAGTGAGGTGCACTTTTAGTGGGAGGACGTGCAACCGCTGTGTATACTTTTTTCCATTTTTATAGTTTTTCATTTTTGGATTTGGAGAAGTGAATAGGCAGGAGGAAGGCAGTTGAACGAGGCACTGCGTCGTGTTCAACCAAGCAGCAGACTCATACTGCCACACGAGGTTACAATCGGCTTGGAGACCGCGGGGACGCCCGAACCCCCCCGGAGATGGCCACCTGGTCCTCCCTTCCGGTCGCCAACCGGCAAGGTGGAGCATTCCGGGATTTTTCGTTGGGTGGCGGGGCAGCCTTTCACGGGTGGCTTTCCCGCTACTTGGGCCCCCAACTTCCCACGGTCGGCCAGCGGTGCACCGTGCTTCGGATCCCGCTAGCCTCCAGAACCGAGTGCTCAGTGTGGCAGTACAAGCAGCTACAACTCGCCGTCAGACGCAATGCAACTGTTCAGACCCGACCTCCAAATGGCAACTCCCGAACACGAGTCGGAACACGGTAAAAACCATTTGGCGACTCGACTGCGTCGGGAGGGTGGTGACTAGCCACGGCCGAAGCCTACCACCAGTAGTTATTGCTCTTTAGCACCACCCAGGGGTCACTTGTAGGGTCTCAAGGGTAAACCTACGGAAGCGAGCAACATCAACCCCCAATTTCTAAACACGTTTCATGAAAACACTCAAAGGTGATATCACGTTAATAATTTTTAATTACAGATGTGAAGCCTCACTCTTCGATATATGGAAGTCAACGAGTCACACGTTAGTTCTTAGAGAGAGGAGTGCTAACCCAGCCTCCGCTTTAGGAAGGAGTTTCACAGGTATCAAATCATATTAAATAATAATATACAGCTTGTAAACAAAAACGTTCCACCATATCTTCCACTAAAACACAGATGACAATATAGAAAAACAAATTTTGAATTCTGATTAAGAATTAGATTAAATTACACAGTCTTATGGACATAGAATGGCATCAAAGCATGAAACACGCCGAGAACGGGTGCGGGTCGGGTGTGTGGCGGGTCGGGAGCAGGGCGGGTGTAATTCTGTGTATTTGTATGGACGACAACACCATGCGCGGGCGCGAGATGTGCGCAGGGCAGGTTGCATGCACGCTCGTGGTGTGTTATCATCCATATAAATACAGGGAATTACCCGACCCGACACGCGCCCAGCCCAACCCGACACGCGCCCGACCCGACACGCGCCCGACACGCACCCGCTGTCAGTGTGTTTCACGCTCAAGACGGTCAGAAAAAGTTTTAGGCTATGTTCAGATGGACGTACATTAGTCGCGCGTTGGAACATTCAGACAACGAGAGGCAATGCGCCGAGCGCGCAAGTCCTAGGAGTGACAAGTCATAGCTCTAACACGTGCTATCGCGGCTAAAACGCGCGGTCATCTAAATACTACACGGTCGGTGTCAGTCTTAGTTGTTATCGTTAGTTGCGCAATGCGCGGCACCTATCTGGACTATTGTCCAGATACATAATTGCTGTACTGTGATAGGGAGGGTACTGTACGTGCAATCGGGTAGCTTATCTAAGGCACTAGCCTTTTGAGAACCGGATGACGACTGTACAAAATGGCTGCTCTGGAGTCAGGACCTGACTGAGAAAGTCTTTGTGCAGATTTGCTCGCACAGGTTATAGTGCTCTTCCCGTATAACCAAGAGGTTGATAGGAAGGGTCACTACGAACAAAACTCTTGTAGAAAAAATATGAGAGTGTCCGTGTCCATTATTTTAAAAACGCGGTGACGCGCGTTTGCTAGTGTGACGCGGGTTTTGGAGTATTTCTTCTGAACGCGGCGATACTGCGCGTACAAATGAACAAATGTGTGTAAAATGTATGTATGTATCTCTACATGAGATTTGAAAACGTGCGTTAAATTTTTGCCATGAGTTTAGCCTTAAGCGCATCAGCATTCTGAGCGGAAGTGAAGCGAGCAATATCTGTTTCGTTCTTATTGCATTGACATAAAGATTTTTCTGACCGCATTTTCGGCTCCGCATTAATAGACAACACATACAAATATTTTATCTTCAAAGTTGCAAGTTACGTCTATTCACGCTAAAGGGATGGCGTATCACATTGTAACCGTTTTTATGAAAACAAACAACATTAGCAAAAAAAAATTCCTCGTTGAGATTTTTTTTATATAACCTCTTTTCTTAATATCTCTGGGCAATGTTCGTGTTTCGACTGTATCGTCATAGTCTCTTTGCGTGGGGCATACCGGACGCATTCAACCGCAATCGACTTGAAAGTATACGTTTATTTATTTATATTGTACAATTTACACAAACAATCATCAAAACTAAACATGTAAGCCATAGTCAGTATAGGGTTGGGACAATCACCGCCCAAAAGCAAGCTGCTGAAATTCTGTCACAGAGCTTCGGGCGGTGAACCTCTCCAAGTAGTAACCAAGCGATGTCAGAAATTTCGTTTGAAAGTTACTGAACACGTCACTATCATTATCACGCCCGCCCCGCAAAGCCCCGCACTAAGGAAACCTTGTGTTGCGGGTGCCATAGACATGTAGGGTATTCGTACATACATACATACATACATACATACACACATACATACATACATCATACATACTCGTTCATACACAAACTAATTTATATTATAATTACCACACAAAAAAAGGAATTCTACTAATAAGAAAGAGCAATATCTCAAAATATTAGCTAATTCTGGAAAAATATTTATTAAAAGTCATTGACTTACAAAAAGTAATAAAATATTGTCATTACAAAAAAACTGCAAACCTTTTTCTAACACAATTTTGTTCTTAACTTTATTCTAACTTTTAGACAAATACCTTCACTTCAAGATTTTATTTCATTTCTAATCAATTAATTGGACATTACTTACATCAAGAAATTTTTACCTCTTACATCAAATTTAAATACTAATTCTTAAATGAATTCAAAATTTCTTAGGTGTATTTTAAGAAAATACATTCTTTAACAAAAAAAAGTAGTTTTCTATTCAGATTAATATTCTAAATTCTAGAGTATATTTTTAAAGCAACATTTTGTTGCGTTTTCATAGTCATTTCATAGTCATGTTGTTGTCAATGATTTACTTTTACTTGTGCTTGTAATCATAAAAATCATAAACAGTCTTTCATACAAAGAAACAATACTTAGGATCGTATTCTAGAACTCTACTCAATTCTTAAGTCAGGACTTGAGTATGATTCAAAGCACTAGAAAACATACTCAAGTCCTTTCCATTAGGGTCGTATTTCCAGTGCTTGAAATCATACTCAAGTCTGCTCAAATCCTGACTTGAGCATTGAGCAGAGTTCTGGAATACGACCCTTAGTATCTCTAGTTTGTTAGTGTGTTATTTGTAGTCATATTTTAAGAAATTTAGTTTCAGCATGAAATCAATCTACACTTGTAACAAGTACAACTTCAACATGCAATTAGTTCCATCGCGCCACTGCTGATAGCATTAGTTGTACTCTGAAACGCGCTATCGTTTTCTTAACTTCAATAGTATAAAGTCATCTCATATATTTTGAATTTTTGGTGCTTTCTGCCGCAGTATTACTTTTATGGCACTGAACGGTACTCAAGTATTTGAAAAGATTCCGTCGTTCTTCTGCTACTTTAAGGTTTGGCACTGAGCTGTGTGCTTTCACGCTATTGTAAATAATTGAGTACCTCTCAATTTTTCATTATTTATTTTTTCAAGTCGAAAATCGGACATTTCTAATAACTAATAAATATTTTGTTGAATCTGGAGTAGCTTTGAGACTTGAAGTAAATTAATTTACTCTTGGATTAAATATCTAAATCTTATAACTAAACAAAGTCTTATAACTAAAATCCACTTTTGAGATTTTTTTTTACTATTATCAAGTAATTATTCTCTAGCGTCTATAGGGAGACGATCGTTTTGTTGGATTTAATAAATTTGTCTTCATAAAAAGAATTTTGTCTTTTTCTAAGTAATCTGTTTTTACCGTACACTTACCTTTTCCCGTGTCGTATCAGCTAGTTCACGTTGTATATTGAAACCGAGCACTTCGAATTCGTTTCTATTGTTCTCGCGTGACGTAGGACCAACCGGTCCGAGCGCTGGCCGGCCGTCCGCTCGCCACGTGCTAGTCGAGACCTGCCTTGTATACGGAGCTCGCGCTAACACTTACTTTGCTTGTATACCTTGCGCTTACGCTGTTATATACTGTTCTTCTTTCTATTCTCTTCACCTATCTTTTCTGACTGTATTTCTCGCTACTGCCTGTGCTAGTGCTTGTGCTGAATTCCTTTTTGTGCCTTCTGTATTTTGTGTTATTGTGGACAGACATTATAGTATACGTTATCACACGTAAGTCGGACTATTTATTTCAACCGTTTACCGGACTGTACGTTAACTGTACCCAAACAACTACAGACACACACATAGACAACCACAAATTACACCCAAACTCACGAGAGAAATAAATGTAGGCCATACAAATATTTCTCCAGGCCCGAGAATTGAACCTGCGTGGCAGACCGGCATGGTAACCTTTCGAGATCTGAGCCAATAGAAGAGGGTACAACAGAGTAGCTACTATTTTTTGTGTTGTTTATATTTTTGATATCTTGCTTGGTATATTGTTAAGAAGTAAATACTATTCTAAAATCGGAGTTTGTAAAATTGTCCAATATCCTAGTAAGGCCCCGTGTACTTATTAACGCACAATATGATTGATTATGGGATAGATACCCATTTCTAAATAGAAAAAATACATTTTTGTGACAAAACTGAGTGTATAACTAAACACTTAGCTTGGGCCTACAGCATGTAATTAAATTTAGTACATTTTAATGTACATTGGTTTTTTAGCGTTTTTCCTATTGTAGTTTTCTGGGTCTTAGGAAGATTTCACATGGAAATCAAAACACAATAACAATAAGGTGTACAGACTTCTGAATAAATCTACAACTAGACATTGAAATTTGTGTTCGAGTGCATTCGGTGATCCAAAGATTGCCGAAAGATGTTAAGAAAAGGGTTGTACTGTATGTAATTTAAAAACTAACAACTTTATAGTCATTTATTAAAATTAGTATCATTACCATCTGAAATATAGTCGGACTTTTTTGTTACACCCGGTTGGAATCTAATCGAGATAGTAAAAGTAAAATTGTAGTATAAAATCTACTTGTGCAAAATTGAACACAAAGCGCATGCCTTTAAGCTAGAATTTACAACGCCAAGACTTCCACGGTGCCGAAAAAAAAGCATAAGGTAAATTGTATCGTGTCTCATGTACTTTGCGTTAAATTTTGTAAGCGTTCAATAACTTAAAACGGTTACCTCTTTTGCTTTCTAATCACATCTATTATAGTATTATCATAATTCAGAGTCTGATAGACATTTTAATTTAGATAAACATTGACCTAAGATGGAACATAAAGACTTCTTAGGTTAGATTTTCAATTACACCAATTTAGGGAGCAAAATTGTTCTCCAGTGTTCTGGGTATAGATCCCGATTCACTTTGTTTTGATAGCTTACTATGTAACATAGTTGCTGTAATGCATAGGTAGCTGTAAAGTTACCTAACTGGGTGACGAAATACTTTCATAGATTTCTCATAGATGGCGCTATGGCTAAAACGTCGTTGAAAAAAAAAAGAACAATTCGTGAGGTCCGCTGGTTCGTTTCGTGGCTTAGTTGGTATAACGTCTAGCACCATTTCCTAGAATACATCTATTCGAATCCGGTCGGATCGAAGGAATTTTTTCTTTGTGTTCGATCTTTGTATTAGCAAACTAGTGTAGTAATTTGAGAAAAAATAATTGAATGTCAATTCAATACAAATTTAATTATGTAAGATATTTTCAAAGTGGTGACGGTGATGATTTTCATTTATGCAGATTATCTGCGGATGCTGATATCCGCAACAACCCTGGTACACATTTGTGACGGCCAGACATTAAATTTCATTTTGTTCACAGCTGCAGCAACAGAAACGTGCCTGCCAACAATAATGGTTTTAATACTTCAAGTCTTCTTACAATTTTTACTAGGCAGCTACAGTGAAACACCGATCAGATAGTTGATTAGGTCCAATGTTTGTATTTAGCTATTTAAACTCTATAATTATAATGTAGTTTCGGCTCAGGGTTAAAAAAGTTTCAAATGTCTACACACTTGCGGTGCAGCGGCGGTAATTGTGGATACCGAATGAATGTTGCGCGTGATGCTAGCGGTATTGCAAAAAACGAACTTTGCCTTGACAAATATTGTGTAAAACGAAAAAAGTTTAGAACGGTATAATAAAATTTTGAATTTCATGAAATGTGATTTTCATAGTTTTGATTTACGACAGCTGGGTTCATTCCTATCTTTACTCTCTATGGTAGCTTAATACATAAAAAAATGTTCATTAAGATACAATACTATTTTATGAAGTCCAAGCCTCAACTATTGCATTTTTGACCTACTTAATAGGAAATGAAACTCGTTTTTCGGCACTAAATCGTGTATAATTGTTTTTTTCAAATAAACTAACGTTTCGGGCCTTTACTGACTGCTGACAGTCAGTCGTGTATTGGTTTGTTTGAAAAAAAAAAAACAAATATACATAACTTAGATCCGAAAAAATTATTAGTTTTCCCAAATACAATAATCGATACGAATAAGAACTCGAAACATATTTAATAATATGTCAAACATTAAAACTGCACTGTTAATACAATAGTATATTGACTGAAAAAAGTGAACTTTGTCAGAATCGATAAAAAGTTAAGTGGATATCTTTTGATTATTTTTTACAACATTCTAACGACTTTTTTTTTTTAAATGTAGAGAAACAAAATTTACGTTCATTAATGACATAATATTAAATTTCCCATATTTTGAGTTACAGCACTATTGTAATAGTAGTGCGATATTATGATTACTTTTGCTTTTTTTCTAACTTTTTTCTAACGTCAGATGACTGCCTTTCTAGCTTTTCCCATTGTCTTGACAGTCTGTCGTCGTAACGTTAAAAAGTCGTTAATCGTGTTTTTCTATATGTAAACAACTTCACTTAAATATACAAGGCACGACACTTTACACTGCACGACTGTCTGTCGTCACGACATATTGGGAACACGCCCTACAAAATACTGTTACTTATTTAATGAAACTATTTTTCGTATATAAATCGCGCGTGTTTTTTCTAAGAAACTAACGTTTCGGGTCCTATAAAACCGGGTACTTATTAGCGAACTGTAACTGTAACTTGACATATACAATAACGAGGTTCTAATGCGTACACGTGAAGCAGTCTTCGATCGCTAGAATGAGTACCTGGTTATTGTTGGCACACTGGGAACTGCACGCGTTCCGCTCGCGACAAGCTCGCGACCCATGTACACACAATGATTCCTGGTAACATAACAACGAGTTAAGAAGTTACAACTCACTTGTGAGTACCCGACTTTATAGTTCCCATAGGACATAATTATACTAATACTAATAATTATACTTTTGATTCATTTGAAAATGATTTGAAACTTGGACTTTATAATACTACTGGAATATGTTTGGTTTTATTAATACCTCTTTACATATTTTAATCGTAATATAGACTAGGTACCGTTATTATAGACTGATTATTTAATATTTTTCATTGTAAATACGTAACATTTATTACGTTTGTAAATAAATGTAACACCATTTAAGATGTTGATATTACCTATGAATGTTAGTGTAATGTTTAAGTCAGTTATTCATCAATTGTATAACTAAAAACTGGTTTTTTTATTTGTTATTATTAAATTCTTTATATTATTTCTAAGTGAGAGGAGTCTTTTATATACTGAACTATTATTATGTGTGTATATTAAATATTATGATTTAAGATTCTTTATCTCAATTTACATTTTTATTTCTTTTCAAAAGTAAAAAAAGGAAAACCTCCATTCACACACTCCCTTATGTCCTTTTAAATCACAGTAATAATTTTATCTAGTAATGTACATTTTTCCGAAGAATTAGTTATGTTATATATTATTTCTGTATGCGTAGTAAGTTATTGTTAGTAATTTCATATATTTTATTTACATTCTAATACGTCAAAAGGGCTGTGTTTTGTACTTATGTATAACGTGAAAAAAACGAGTATTTTATTTTATATTCTACTAGATTGCCTAGTATTTCCTCTGCCTATTAATTGTAACCTGTAATTGAAATAAATAGGTACATTGACATTTGCTCGGGATTTAATTTATAAATAAGAAACTGACAATATGTTATTAATATTTAAATTGTATATTTACTTAACATATTCTCATATCTACTTCTGTTTCTTTTAGAGGAACATAAAATTTCATATTTAAATCGTATGTGTGGAATCCCACGATAAAAGGCGAGTGAGACAACCAGCGTTATGCAACGCGAATACATCGCGAGATTTGTGAATGTGTTCATCCGTACACGGCTCGTGGCGGGTGCGCAAACACACAAGACACGCTGCTACGCTTGTATGGAGTTACCATACTTGTTTTATTATACTATGATTCCGGCTTGCCTAGCGTGGAAGCTATGATAAATATAAAATTATTCAAATATTCTGTCAAATTAATTTTATTTATTTATTATTTTAGTTACGAAATTCACTGTTCGAAATAATATTGCCGTGTTTATTGTATAGTGCTTGGTTCAGTTCTCAATAAACTTACTAAAACAAAACTAGCGCTAAGTAATATTTCATTTACATTTAGTCTCTACATATTGCAATTCCTTGTCTGTTACCGAACACGTACTGTTTTCATAAATACCTATAATTTATTGAAAAGGTATAATGTACCTTAAGGATCTACTGAAAGGTCAGCGTAGTCGATCTTTTAAAAGAACAATATTTTTATTATATCAAACATAGCAACTCACTTAAATTTGTTTATTATTTCTGAGTAAAAATCTGTACAAAATGTTTAATGACTGTGGTCTAAGGAATTGACAATGATTTCAGCAATTTTCAGGACATCGCATTGTTCGTTGTATTATGTTTGAAAAAAAAGGTAAACGTATTATTTAAGGCTGACTGGTTATTGTTAGACACAAAAATCAACGGTCGCATTTGTATTGTAATTCAAACAAGTATTATAAACCTCGTTAACTCCGAACAAATCATGCCTGTTATTTCTTCCAGAACTTGAACTATGTTTTTCAAATTCCGATTAATTTATGATGGTGCATTGAAATGATTAAATTTAAACAGTAATATTACATGTTACATGTGTAAACAAAATTATTACTAGTCAATAAAATTGTTATTAGAATCAATAGGTAACTATGTAAATTTTAATAAAATAATTTGATTTTTGTTTTTTCTCTCTTCGTCCTTTCGGTAGGTCAGTGCATTTCATAGCAATATAGATATTATAACTCTCGTGGTTATTCACTAAACTAACGGTAAAACAAAACTCATACGTGGTCTGTAACTAACAATGATCGTTTATAGTTCTCAAATTATTATGTGAACCGATTCAACTTATATACCTTTGGTGAAAAATAGAACAAAACACTTTTTTCATTCGGTGACTTATATGCCATCCGTTCCTGTAAATAGCCAATATTGGTACTTTTAAGTTTGAAACAGTCTGAAATGATACAGAAATTTATAAGTAGCATTATAAAATTTATTCATATTTGTAATTAACATCGTGGTACAATAAAGTGTTTACATACATACATGCAATGGTAACATCATTTACACTGTTAAATTAAAATAAAACTGGAGTTGTAAAGTTTATAACCCTAATTGAAACACGGTAGCTAAGCCGTTCTAGCTGATAATATTCATCAACCCAAACAATATTCTGAGAACTATAGCAATTTGATTTTCGACATGCTTGATAAGTAAATAAAGAAGATATGGTACGCAGCTGTATTAATCCTGTAAATTTTTCAGCTAAAAATTATTATAAAAACCTTCTCCGTTCCATATTACGCTTACTTATAATATTTTCCTGAATTTAATTATGACTTGGAAAAGTCTGTACTTGTTTTTTATATAATGGAAATTATTGTAATTGAATTTTGGTTTGTCTCATCAAAAAAATTATAAATAAATGTCTTTTAAATTCCTATACACTTGCGGCAACGACTCATCAAGCCTTGAAATAACACTTTCAACAATTAAAATAAAATATTATATGCTAAAGAACTAACTGCCAGTTAAAATAAATTTTCAATATACCAAACCAATCCATCTTTTTAAGTAACAAGTTTGTAAGAGAATAGTTTAAGTTAAAAATTTGAAAAGTAAAGGCGGTTCGCGCGTTTCAAGTTGTCACGCCGCTGCCGCAAGTGCAACTAGACCTTTATGTAAATTGTTAACTTGTTTAAATGTGGCAGTACGCGGGTAAAGGTGCTTTATGGTTACTTTTGGAGTACTTGACACGCGTTCATTTAGTGCAAGAATTTATCGCCCTTTATATTCCGCCATAAGGTACCTTTACGCGAGTATCGACGCAATAATGTACGTATTATGGTGTAACAATTGTGCATTAAACCAAAAGTGATTTTAGGGAAATAATGTAATAAATCAAGGAAATAAAATAAAACGGAATTTCAAACTAAAGACTTTTCTTTACCTCTCTTATTTGTTTTTTAATAATTATATTGGTATTAACCAATAGGGTAAGCACAACAGTGTGCGACTTGTGCGAGAACGATATAAGCGCGGAATACTGCTATTTTCGCATAGAGAATAGCAATATTTCGAGCTCGTATGTCACTCTTACGTAAGTCGCGCTCTGTTATGCTAGCCCTACAAATGACGGGACGAACAAGTAGTGCGCCTAGTGGTAAGTGATTTATCCATTACAACTCTGCCCATGTCATCCTTGTCATAACGTCATAACTAATGTATTTTCAATTGAGTAAATTTCGAGATATTGGCACCTGAAAGGAGATCCGCCAAATCCCATACAAAATTACCCCAGGCCCGGCGCCAAAATAATGTAACTCAATTTTTAGAGTAAAAACAGCAAAAATATTATATAGTTTCGGTATTGCTAAATTCACATGCTAACGTTGTCTTTTTGCCCGTTGAATTTTAATAGGGGCTCTTTGTAAAATTAAATTTTTTAGAGAAATGTCGTAATTTTTAGTTCA